AAAGATGTTTTAATGGATTAACACGTTCGTTGCCACCGACGCAGCATATGCGACCCAGAATGCATTTTCCAGCGTGCTGTCGATTTTCTGCTGGCAACGAACGTGTTATCGAATTAACATTAATAAAATCAATCAATCTTTCGTAAGTAAAAACAGTTTGCTAAAAGATACAACTTCACGTTTTAATTATTAAAGACAAATAATTTCTAACCTAAATGGTACGAAAAAAAGTTACCATCAAATTGATACGAAAGATTTTCATATAATGAGAAATAACTTTTTGATGTAATACTACAAAATTAAAATTGCCTCTTGAAAATAAAAAAAAAAAGCTAATTTTTAACCGACGTTTCAGATATCCTATTAACATTTGTTTAAATATTCCACCAGTTGTTACAATGTGTTGTCTACGTCGCGTATGAATAAAATAGTATTTTAAAAAAGTTCTGTTCTTCGATGTTGAGACAAATAATAGCAGTCGAGTGTATCTTCGTTTGTATAACAACATTTACTATTTCTAAATCGACCAAAACTGATAAACACACGAAAGCGCAACAAGTAAATGTTAATTTATCCTCTCGAATTGCTAAATACAAGTAAAACACTGGTTAGGATATAAAAAGAAAAATTATGCATTCGTTTTACTTTAGCCACGTGAGAATTCTGCAAAAGAGACAGATTTTCCGGATGTGTATCAATCGTCCACAGAATTACCAACTTTTAGCAACAGTACGTCACTAAAAATGTTTGAAGAAATCACAACAAAGGTGTGGAGAGCCTTGCCTGTGATTAGTATACCACAAAGTTTGGTGCTTGCTTACTGTATGAAATATACTGAGATTTCTGAAGAAGTAGAAAAAGCGGCTATGCAATGTCAATATGATGGAACAAACTGGGATTGCACGTTTATCGAAATGGTAAAATCTGTCGAATATTAATATCGTGTTTTAAAGAGATGTTACATAGGTAATTTCATATTCGCTATAATCACAGTTCGCTATAATCACAATTCGCTATAATTCGCATTGATCACTCGTAATTTAAATAAGTTTGATCTCCTTTAATTCAAATAACTTTGTCACTCATAATTTAAATAAGTTTTTAATTTATGGAAAAATGTGGCAGTAACTGGTACCGATTCGAATATTTGAAACTATACAAAAGAGATTCGAATGTATTTTGTTAATTAATTTACGTCAGACGTTGCTGTAAATCTTTTAAGAGAGCAAATCGTTATAGAAGTGAATATTGCTTAACACAGAATTATGTAATCCGAAGGAAAAAAAAAAACAAAAGCTTCGGTATTTTTCTATTTTTGAACTAAAGATTGGCGTTAAGGCAATTTTCGTTGGCACAAATTCGAGGAAACGAAATCAAAAAGTTTGCCAAGAATAAATTCGAACAAAAATCAAAATATAAATTTTAATATCATCCTTATTTATCGTATCTTATTTACACCTTTTTAGCAAAAATTTTAATAACAGCTCAATGTGTAGGTACAAAAAACATTAAATTTTTCACTTATATGTTACGTTTAATTTTATGCCATTTAATCAATATTTCATATAATTGTAATTTCCTACAACTATAGTTGATGCATTAGGGTGGCGGACAAGATGATTTTAACATAGGGAAAATCGTTTCCTTATATCATAATCTTTCTAATCGAGGGTTAAGATCAAAACTACTTCGCGGAGCCGAAATTTGTGGCAAAATTTGGCAAAAGTATAAGCGTGTACAAGATAAAAGACTGATTCCCATGCAACTACATGTTCGCGTAAGTTTTAAACACTGTAAATTTATAATGGCGCGTGATTTGTTCCTTAATGCTTATTCCTATCAAAGATAAAGAACAGAGTAAAAAGATTTTCAAAAGTAAATAAAAATTTACCACGTTCGAAAATAAATCAAAAACGTTTAAAGAAGAGGAAAGAAGCGAAACGTGACGAGGAAATAAAGAATGCAAAGCAAACAGCGAAAGAAATAAAAGTTATTCGACAGAAACTAACAAATAAAATTGCGGAACTTGAAACTAAAAGTAACGATCGACAATATTGCAATAGCTACAATAGATATAATGTGAAGTGAAGAAATCATTCAATTATAATTAAATGATCCATTATTTTTCATATTAATCGATTAATTATTATAATTCTTAAAGCTGATAAAAATTTCAATTATACGTTTTTGTTCTTGGAACTTACCTAACCTAAAAAATGCTAAAATAATTAATTCACGATTATAGATATTCTAGAATCTCCAAATCAATCATTTCAATTTCATATACAATTATATAAAAATTGATCTTCTAGAATCTTTAAACCCACAAGAAGAAACCGAACTTGATAAATTGTATTTAACTGTAACGACGAAACCTCCTGTAAATTTGAAAGAATATTCTCTGGCAAAGGATCGAGTTGAATTATCTCGTCTTCAAGAAATTGGATCGTGCTTATCACAACAAGCTGCAAAAGCTTGCGAATTTGTTGTTCTTAAAGCAGTTCAGACATTAACGTAATGTAATCTGGATTTACGATATTATATAATTGCAGTAAATTGTATGCCATATATCGATTTTTCTAATCCATTCAAGAAACAAATATAATAGAAACAAAAACGAGAGAAATCAATAACACATGAACGAAATACTTACATATTTTTATCATTGTTATATTATATTATATATTCCTATATCATATTACGAAAAACGACGAAAAATTTGTTAACTTCCTACAAAAATTGATTCAAAACGCAGAAATGCAAAGAGAAATTTATTATTTAATACATTCTAAATCTTCTTCGAATAATTACCTTGATTACTTCTTTTCTAATTCTATCGATAAATCCCTTAATTTTAATAACACTATTAACATGTACTATATACAACATATTTGGTTGAAACAACTTCATTTACATTGCAAATATTCATAAGAAGATGTAGAAAGAAATACAAAATATTGCCATAATGCGATACCATTAAACATCGATATTGGTAATATATCAACTATGGAAATGGATATTTTAATTTATTACAATGAAATAAATCGGTTTTTTCAACGAATAAAGGCTTGTTTTGATTAAAATGATACATTTCTGACAGTTCTTATTGAAACTGTTAAATGACTATTATGTTGAAACTTATTTGTTCTTCACATAAAATAGTTTACACACACAATACAATTGCAACACACATCTGATAGATAAAATAGGTTATATTCGTTATCTCAAGTGAAGAGAAGTTGACATTATGTCAACATTTTACGATAATTTTGATAATTAACCGTATATTTGAATATAAATATATACAAGAAGTTCACTGATTTGTTAACATATACATAAATTGTATATAAATAGAATACGTACACGATGCTATACTTTATTGTGGTTAACTTTAATGCATGTATTCGAATACTACTTTTAATCTGTTGACATTTTTATAAAAAGCAACAGTTTAGAACATTCTGTACATCCATCATTGTAACGTCTTAAAACTTGCCAAACATTTTGAAATATTTTAACAATGTTAATAGTTATATTGTGTATAATAATTTTGTATCATCACAGTAAGACTATCTTTACATTTTACTAACCATTAAAGTATCACTTAAATA